GAGTGCTAGTATTAAAAGTGTGTACTGCCACGCCCGGCTTCAAATCTAATTTTTTAATAAAAGGGGCTGGAGTGTAGCTCAGTGATAGAGTGCATGCTTAGTATGCATGAGGCCTTGGGTTGTCCCCAGCACCACCATTATAACAGCAATCCAAAACACACCAATCTACCGTGCAAGTTCTACTTCTTTAACTTGAGGTAGTTGTTTAATGACTTACTCCATCCCTCACTGTAAGACTGAGTTTGTTTACTTCTTCATGGTATAACATATTACTACCTTTTATTTTCTTTCTTTACTTTTGGGACAGGATCTTATATACCCCAGCCTGGCCTGGAACTCTCTATTGAGCCTAGGATGACTTTGAATTGAATCTCCTGCCTCTATCTCCTAAGTGCGAGAATTATAGCTGTGCATCACTATTCCTGGCTATGTAGTTATTTTATTCCTTAGTATATTTTTTATCAATTTTTTATGAGATGTTGAGTAACGCATTTAGGGTATTGAGAATGTTAGGCAAGTGTATGCCTCTGACCCATACCTTCAGCCATATACTTTATTTCATTGTATGGATATAATCATCTATTTAATGAATGCCTATTTAGGAGCATCTATACTATTTCCAAATTTCAGCACTACACAAGTAAAGAATGTCTACACTCAGGTAGAGGGAAGAGGATCAGAAGATCAAGATTGTCCTTGCCTATATAAGGAGTTCCAGGCCAGCCAGGGCTACATAGTGAGACCTTGTCTAAACAAAACAAATTAAAAAAGCAAATCACAAATGAACAACAAAAATGAAAACAAAACATCAAAAGAATGTCTACTGAGCAAGGTGTGGTGGCACACACTGTGTGGTGAGTCTGCATGTGTGTGTGTGTGTGTGTGTGTGTGTGTGTGTTTGTGTGTGCACGCGCAGGGGGATCAGGAATACAAGGCCAATTTTAACCACATATCCAATTGTAGGCAAGACTAGGCTACATGGTTACAAATTTCTAGGTTAAAGGATACACACATTTTTATATTTCATAGATATTATTGGACATTATTTTCACATGGAATAGGGTTTATAAAGGTGCTTATTAAGAAGTGTAATAATACCTGCCAGGCATGCTAGGGCACATCTTTAATCCTAGGACTCGGGAGGCAGAGGCAGGTTGATCTCTGTGAGTTCAAGGCCACCCTGGTCTATATGAGTTCTGGGCCACCTGGGGCTATAGGGAGACTCTGTCTCAAATAGACAAAAAAAAAAAAAGTGTAATAGTACCTATTCGCTTTTTTGATTGGTTCTCTTATAGGTAATTTACTCTGTCTTTTTCTTAAAACAAATACACAAATTGAAAAGTTCCACATTTGTGGTTAAGCATCCAAGAAAGGTTTGTGTGTTGATTTCTGTGACCACTTGAAAATGATCAAGGAACTGTGTACTGGTGATTTTGTTTCCTAAAATACTGTGGCTTGGTTCCCATAGACAATCATGACTGAATGTGATTATACTTAAAAGTATATCAATCAAAATTTTGTTAGCCATCCTTTAATGGCAAAGAAATTATTTTTCTTATGATTCATAAATGAGTTATTATAAATTTAGAAATTCTGTGATTGTAGTTTTAAATTGTTCCTTGGGTTGGCAAGATGGCTCAGCACATAAAGTGCTTGTGGTGCAAACCTGATGACCTGAGTTTGATCACTGGAACCCACATAAATGTGGAAGGAGTGAACTAATCATTGACCACCACATGAGTACCATGGCATGTGTATATGTATATGTGCAGAATACACTCACACACAATAATAATAAAGTAAAATGATATGTCTTTATTTGTAGAATTTGTTGTTCAAAGTTGTTTAGTGTAAGACTAGGGAAATAGCTCAGTTGGTAAAGTCTTGCAGCATAAGCATGATGACCCAAGTTAGATGCTCCAGAACAGTGTAAAAGAGCTGGGTGTGGTGGCATGTACTTGTAATCCCAGCCCTGGACAGGCAAAGACAGGTGGATCCCTGGGTCTCACTAAACAGCCAGCCTAGTGTACTCAGTGATCTTCAGGCCAAGATACCCTGTTAGAGAAAACAAAATACCTTGGAACAAATCACCCAAGGTTGTGCTCTGGTCTCCATGTGCATGGAGGGTACATACATGTGCACCCACATAATCGATTATGCACTCATATGCACCTCCCCCGACACACATACAAAGCTGTTTAGTGTCAAGAGGTCTTGTCACTCAGGGATAGTTAAAAAATAATGAAGGGGCTGAGAGTGTAACTCAGAAATAGAATACTGGCCAAGAATGTTCCAGGGTCTGGGTTCTATCCCCACAGCTGCAAAAACTAACAAAAAGTTGGGTCCTTGAATAGGTCCCCTATATTGAGGTCCACCCACCCAGGGCTCAGGGACCATTATGGAAGAGAGGGCAGAAAGATTTAAGAGCCAGGGAGGAGGTGCACGACCATATGGAAATAGTCCTACTGGTGCCAGGGACTCTTCTCATACAAACCTACAGCAACGGTGTCAGCATGCAGAAGACCCATGCAAACTTAAGCAGACAAATACCCAGCACAGAACTGTGGAAGTGAACAACAAGCCTGGATCTTAGTTGAAGAATTATTGGCAGCTGATTACTGCTGGGTGAGGAAGAGTTATCTTCTTGAAGGGAGAGACTGTAGATAGGCTGACTAAACCCCAGTGGATGAACTTGCACTGGGGGACATCTCGGGACACTAACTTTACATAATAGGTTTTAATACAAATGACAGAATGTATGAACTTCAGTGTGTGGGGGGGTCACTATGGGAAGGTACCAAAGGGGAAGGGGGAAGGGGGCATAAAGGTGATTTTCTGTATGAAATACACAAAATTTCAATAAAAAATTATTTAAAAACTAACAAAATTTGATTCAGACAAAGTAGGGGGAAGTCAGTACCATCTATTTCTACATTAAAACTTTCAATTCAGGCTGGGTGTAGTGGTGTACATCTATGATCTCAAGATTTAGGAGTTGGAAGGGTAAAGGTAGGAGGATTGCTGCAGCTTTGAGGCCAGATTGAGCTATAGAGTGAAACCCTGCTTTTTAAAAGTTGCCCCCCCACCCCCAACAACATTGCATGATGACAAATGCCTGCAATATCTTAGCAGGGGGAGGATTGGGAGTTCCAGATTATCCTGGGCAACCGCTTCTTGCCCTGTTGCTGTGATAAAATACTTTGATAAAAGAAACTTAAGGAAGAAAGGATTTGACTCACAATTCCTGGTTACAGTCCATCATTAGGGGGAAATTAAAGTGGCTGGAACTTGAAGCAGCTGGTAAGTTCACATTCACAGCCAAGACCAGACATCAGTGAGTTCATACATACGTGTCAGTGTTCAGCACGATTTTTCCACTCTTACACAATTCAGAATCTCTTGCCTAGGGAACAGTGTTACCCACAGTGGGCAGGTCTTCCCACCCCAGTAATATAATCAAGATAATCTTTACAGACATTCTTACAGGCCCTACTCCCAAGTGAGTCTAGATTGTGTTGACAACTAAAACCATCATAGCCACACAGTGAGTTTGAGGCCAGTCTGGGCTATGTGAAAATGTGTCTCAAAAAAAGAACAAAACATTTAATTCATATTAAAACAACAGACTATTTGCTGTTATTCCCATAGTGATGTCTATTAGATAGTAAGCATATTTGTTGTGATGAAATGGATCTTTCATATTCTTTATTTTCCGAGAAGGGAAAAAATAACTCCTGTAAATTGTGTCTAAGTGATATTTAATGTATGAAACACAGAAAATTGGTATAACAGGTACAGAAGGTTGATTTTTACAGTTGGCAGTGGATTTTAAACATTTAAAAAATGGTTTGAAATGTGTACACACTTCTGTTGATTAAAAACATGACAGTCTATCAGATTATCAAAATGCTCTCTTTGAAAAAAGGCTCCTCTCTTGCCATTCTACTATAAAGGTGTAACCCTGTCACTGAACCATGACTAGAGTTGATGCATATCTCAAGAAAATAAAACATGCACGTGTTGCAGAATAAATGTGGGTATGAAATTACAAACCATTCGAAACTAGAAAACTGCTGTGATTTGCAGATTATCAATGGAGAATGAAATGATAGGGACATGAAAGCTGGGAGGGATGTTAGAGATCATGTAGCCAAACTTCCTCTGTGATGTGGAGGAAACAGATCTAGATTGGTTGATTTGTGAGCCATACACCAATCACAGCAGACTGAGGAAATGGCCGATGGATGTGTGCATTCCAAGTGCCAGTTCCAAGTTTATTCAATATCGAAAAGAATTGTATGTCAGTCTTAAGTTAGTCATATACAACCAACTTCTTGTATTGGTTGTAAGTATACATAAGTACCCTGGTGCTGCAGGACACACCTGTAGTCCCAGCACTTGAGGGGTAGAGGCAGGAGGATCAATGCAAGTTCCAGGCCAGCCTCATCTACATAATGAGTTGGAGGCCAGCCAGGACTATATAACAAAACCTTTTCTTATCCCCTTTCCCCAAAGGTAAACTACATAGATGTGTAAGCATATCGGCATGCTGAATATTATATATGAAACATACAAAGAAATCCACACCATTCTGGAATAAAGGAAAGAACTCTATCGGATGCCTAAATAGATTAGTGATTGAAAGTGCAGTTATTTTCTGTTTTTCGAAGGACTGCTGTTTGGTGGAATTTGCAGTTTGTGTTTCGGTTTCCTCACCCGGAAGATGTTAGGTCTGTCTACTAAGGAGGGTGCAAGCATTGCATGAGATAATTTGAAGGCTCCCTACAGTGCCCAACATATAGTAAATTCTCAACAAATGTAAATAGCCGTTGTTCCGACAATTATGTGGAAGTAAAGACGATGGACTCAAACAGCATTTTCAGGATAACATACATCTTTGGCACTCTGAGGTCAGCTGGGACAGAATTGGACCCTCGGTGAAAAGGTGGAGGGGATTAAATGACGTCCGCCGCCTTAGCAACAGGCCCCCAAAGAAGGTGAATTTCCGTAGCCAATAAGACTATGCGCTCGGGAGGAGGTAGCCAATAGATGACGGAAAGAGGAAGAGGGAGGACGCGCCAATTCTCCTGCCTGAGCCTCGGCCCAACAAAATGGCGGCGGCGGCGGCGTCGCTTTGTTTCCGCGGCTCCTGCGGCGGTGGCTGCGCTAGCGGCCTTTGAGCTGTGGGGAGGACCCAGCACCAGCACCCGTGGCTCCGGAGATTCCAGTCCACTTCGACCGGAGTCGGGCGCCGGGGAACACGGAACGGCACCCAAGGGTTGCCAAAGCCGAGGAGGCGTCCTAGCAAAAAACATGACCGCTGAGCCCATTAGGTAAGCGCAAGCCCCTCGTCACGGGCCTGGCGTCGTGCTCCGGGGCGCCTTCCGAGTGGGCTGCTTGCAAAGACGTGCGCCGGGCGTCTTAGGTTAGGCCGGCGGCGCTCCGTGGCTCCGCGCGGCGGCATCGTCTTCCCTGTAGGTGAGCGGGGCTGGCGGAGCACGCTGGGAAGCCGGGCTAGGGGTGCGTGTCCGGGGCGGCGGGCGCGCAGGCCGGCCGGGCGCCGTCTTCTTCACCTCCCGCCTCTGGGTAGACCATTGCACTCCCGTCTCCCAGGCCGCCGCATCAAGGCTGGAGTCGGAGGCGGTCTGCGCTCGCGGTCCTTCTTCCTAATCTTGGGGCCTAGCGACTGCTTGGGGAAGGAGGGGGAGGGGCGGGAGGATGTGATCCCGGGCGGGACAGTAGAGTGCGGGGCCACTGGCAGTCTCTGGGCCCCGCGTCCCCGCCCGCAGTCCCGGGACCGGAGCGTCGGGCGGCAGGAGGAAGGACGCTCGGGTCCCCCGAGCTTTTTGGCTTCCTTCCTCCACTCCGGATCCTGAAGGGTATCCTGGGCTTTCTCTTGGGCGGCGGCGGGGGAGGGGGGCAAGCTCACTCGGCTTTTGCTTCCCAAGAAGCTCTCTGGACTACTTTTTGTGAAGTCCGGCGCTTAATGGGATAGCAGTTGGTTTTGTCCGCGTTTGGGGCAAATTTGGAAGAGTAATGAGATCCTGTTTTTATTTATTCATTCCATGAGGGATGGGGAGCGTCTTAACGGGGGTTCCCTGGAAGTCCGATTTATTGCCTGACAGGCTGAATCTTACCAATCAGACGCGTTTATTAGGTTGAGGCTGTTTTCCACGCGTTTTTGATTTGCTTCTCAACAGTTTGGGTTGTTAGTATGAAATGTATACCACTTTTCGTGCAGGTGCCTTGCTTTCGGGCAGCTTGATATTTGACTTTTCATCCCATGAAGTGAACTAAGGGATTTTCCTACTTACCGGATACCTGATAGATGTTCTCTTTACCTAGGGAAAATATATTTTAGTTTTTGAAGTACAGACCCCTAGTTACATAAAGATCGTTGCCTTGGTTTATGAATTCGTGTTAATTGGTTCAAGTACAATAAATATTTATGGAATATTAGGTAGTAAGAGATATCCAGTACAACTTGTTCACTGGTTATTATTAGGCATTCCTGTTTGCAATGTGAATGGTGTACCTTACAGTTAAACAGGACTTCTGGATTTTACTTAGCCTCACAGTATATTTTTAAAACCATAGTTGCCCGTGTGTGAATAGTGAGGCAGGAGCCTCCAGGGTTTGAAGCCAGCTTGTCTCAAAAAAAAAAAAAAAAAAAAAAAACCAAAACAAAAACTCCAAAGTGAAAACAGATTGGAGCCTGGCGCCTGTAGCCTCCCTCTCCTGATCAGGAGGCTGAGGCAGGAGGATCACTTGAGTTCACAAGTTCAAGACCATCCTACCCAGCATCCTAAGAATCTGTCTGGAAAAATAAAAGTTGTACTTGGATTTTCTACTCTTTTCTTCTTTGGAAAGAATCTCATTTAATCCAGACTGGTTTTGAACTCAGTATGTAGCAGTGAAGGATGATTGTTGACTTCTTTCTCTCTCTCTCTCTTTTTTTTTAACTTTCAAAAAAAAATTATGTGTATGCGTGTATTGCCTGCATGTACGTAAGTGCACCCATGTCGTGCAGTGCCCACAGAGGTCAGAAGAGACTGTTGGATCCCCTGGGACTGGACAGTTGTTAGCTGCCATATGGGTGCTGGGATTCGAACCCGGGTCTTCTGTAAGAGCAACCAGTGTTCATAACCTCTGAGCCATCTCTCCAGTCCCGATTCTTGACTTCTGATCCTCCTGCCTCCATCTCCCAAGTGCTGGGAGTATAGGTGTGTGCACCATGCTGGGTTTATGCTGGATTGAACCCAGGACTTAGTTGCCCTGATAAGCAAGCACTCTACCAACTGAGTTCCTCTACACCCTCCTCCTTTCTCCCCCTTTCTCCCTCCCTTTCTCCTCCCCTTCTTTCCTCTTCTCCCCCTTCCCCTCTTTCCCTTCCCCCTCTCTGCCTCTCTGCCTCTCTCTTTTTCCCTCCCCCTCCCCCTCCTCCTCCCCCCTCTCCCTCTCCTTCTCTCTCTCTCTCTCCCCCTCTCCCTCTCTCTCCCCTTCCTTTTGTTTGCAGTATGGAGATTGAATCCAGAGCCTTGTGCTTGCTACCCTAGTTCTCTACCATTGAGCTACACCACCAGCCCTCTTTTTACATTTTACTTTGAAATAGAATCTCACTAAGTTACCTAGACTGCTTTTGAATTCCTGGGCTCAGTAGAGCTTTCTGTCTGTTTCTCCAGTGTCTGGGAGTACAGTTTGACACTGCTACCTAATCCAGCTCCTCTCCCTTTCTTTAGGGTGAACAAATGATGTATTATAATTTCTGAACATTTTATGCTGGTCTTGAGTTTTAGGACTAATGATCATAACTAAAATTGAGTACTTAACTGTTTTTTACTTGTATAATTAAAACAAATTCTACAATTACATTAACTTAGGTTTTTTTTTTGTGTGTGTGTGTCTGTGTCTGTGTGTGTGCATGCACGTAGAACACAGAGGAAAACTTTGAGGCGCTCTTTCCTTCCACATGTGGGCCAGGGGATAGTACTCAGATCCTCAGGCTTGGTGGCAAATGCCTTTACCACTGAACCATCTTGCCAGCTCACTTGCATATTTTTTTTTATTTTAAAGAGTTATTTTTATTTATGTGTATGTATGCATATGCATATGCATGTGGGTGCATGAGGATGATAGAAGAGGACATTAGATACCTTGAAGGTGGAGTTATGGATGGTTGTGAGCCGCTTGATATGATGTGGGTGCTGGGAACTGAATTTTGGTCCTCTGCAACAGCAGCAAGGGATTTTAACTGCTGAGCTATCTCTGCAGCCTCAACTCTCTCTCTCTCTCTCTCTCTCTCTCTCTCTCTCTCTGTGTGTGTGTTATAATAAATAATGTATATTTTGTTTTTTTGAGACAGGGTCTCCCTGTAGCCTCGGCTAGCCTGGAACTCCCTATGTAGACAAGGCTGGCCATCTGCCTCTGCCTCTTTAGTGCTGGGTTAAATTAAAGGCATGAAGACATGAGCCACCATGCCCTGTCAGATTTTGATCATTTTAATTTAGGTGCAAGTTTTCTGATAAAAGTAGTTCTTAATTAGGCCGGGTGTGGTGGTGCACACCTTTAATCCTAGCACTTGGGAGGCAGAGGCAGGTGGTTCTCTGTGAGTTCCAGACCAGCCTGGTTTACATAGTGAGTTCCAAGCCAGCCAGGGCTGCAGGAAACCCTGTCTCAAACAAAAAGTAGTTCATGCTGGCTTGATCATGGTAATTTATTACATGTGTCTGAGTTTTCCGGCTGTTTATCATGTACTATTTACTTTTTTATCTAAATGTACAATACAATGAGCTAATCAAACATTTAATTCCGGGAATGTTTTAAACTACATGCTACCACCCCTTGTAAAGAGCAACATATTAAGTGTAGGGAATTAATTAAACAGTGTAACATTGCCTGATTATTTACTATGATAGAGTTCCAAGTGAGTGTTTAGTGATACTTCAGCCTGAAACATTTCTAATCTCCTAAGTCATAATCATTGTTAAAGAAGAAATGGACAAGTAATACTTGAGAACCGAACCCACAGTACTAAACCAGTCAATCTCAATTC